TCATTGCCCAGATGCCAGGAGCATGAGAAGTAACTGATGTCATTTCTCTAGGCTAAAGGAATAGACTCACAAGATATCAGACTGCTTAAAGACTATAAGAACTTGTTTGTGGGATTAAACGTGTTTATGACATCTAGAAATGTTACATTAGAAGAGAAGAACTTGTTTGTGCAATTAAAGATGTCTATTTGTTTGAGAAGTTAGAAATCTTTAAGTTTAGGGAAGATAAGAAGCTGATCTGAAGCAAAAGTGTGGGGAAATTAACAAATGTTAAATTAAAATGAAAAAAGGTAAGGGAGGGAAGGGGTGGGGATGGGGAGTTTTGGGGACTCCAGCCAGGCACCTGGTTCTATCCTTGCTTCTAAAATGAGAGGAGGGAGCGGTCAAGGTTCATGTGGCTGTTATAGTCAAAATCATAGAGTCAAGAAGGGATTAAAGGGAGTGTGAAAGAGGACTTTGTTGATGTAGAGTATATTGGTACTGAGCTACATATGGATATGCTTGCTTCAACGTTAAGGAGTTTGTTACAGGATCCCCCCTCCACCATGTGTTGTTAATGAAGATTCAGCTCCTTGTACATACAGAAAGAGCTGCAGTGGTAATAATTTGAGATTTTAACCCCCTTGAAATCGACTGGTGTAATGGAAGTGCTGGAACAGTAAAAGGGCAGAAATATATAAGCCTATTACAAGAGATGTTTATAGTACAGTTTATAAAAGCCCCAACTAGAAATGATGCTCTCCTGGATCTTGCAATCTCAAACAATGTAGAGTTTTTTAATAAAGTTCATAAAAAAAACATCTGGGTAGCACGGACCATAACATGATTTAATTTAAAGTAAGCTGTAAACATCAAGTACATGCTGGTAAGATAAAACCATGTCATTTTAAGAGGGCACATTTTAGTATAAGTGGTGAGAATGATGCTTTCCAAGACTGAAAGTGGCCATAGATAGATCGAAATTCATCTGGTTCAGCAAGGACTGGCTGAATTTCAATCAGTGTGTGCGCAAGGCCACAAACGTGACCAAGTTTCCTCTGTGGTTTCCACGTGTCCTCCACCTTGACCTCCCTAAAACAGGGCAGGTTACAGCCTGATTCCTAGGGCACACATAGTCCACAGTCCTCTAAGTATTCCTCTCAACCTTTACACCTTCATGTACAGTGTGCCAAAAACGAGGAGTGCTTTGTGCATACACTCACCATACCCCTGGTCACGTCTATCAGCACAGCTCCTCTGACTGGGGACTCACACTGCACCAGACCCAGTATCTTGCACATGGTTGCAGAATAGGCTCTCACTTCCCCATCCACCTTCATCCCCTAGTCCGAGCAGGCTTGCATACAGTTGGACAGTTGGGTACACTGGCATCCCTCTTCTCCATGTGGGTACCTCATGAGATGCACAGTCTAGCATAAGCTTAACAGGGTACTATCCCACATTACAGCAGCAAGGTTACTAAGGATCCACTTCAGACACAAGAAGCAGCCATAAGCTTGGTCCAACTCAATTTGTTTTTTAAACAGTTCTCTTGAAAGGTCCATTAAATCATCAACTTCTCTATCAATCACTCAGCAGTCCTGCTTCAGAGGGTGGTATTGCCCTTCCCTGGGTTAGTGAAGAATAAATGTTTTCTCTCCTAGGTCACGACTCTCCTCCCTAACAATGCTCTTCCCATCAGCCGGCTTCTCCTTTTTCTAAGCCCCATCCCAAGCTTTTATAGGATTCTACTAGGAAGGAAATGAAATATTTTTGATTTATATCATATTGTAAAAAAGTTATCAAAGTCCAAGTAACCGCAGACCTGTTAGTTTAACTTTTACAGTCGGGAAGATACTTAAAGAGTTTAATAGAAGACCATATATAAGAGATTCTGTTAGAAAACAGTATTTTAAGCAACAGACAGCATGTATTCACAAAAGAACTACATTGTCAAACAAATCTGCTCTATTTTTATGAGAAACATAGATAAAAGGGTAGCTGTGATTATAGTATACTTAGACTTTGCAAAAGCATTTGATACAGTTCCCCACACATGGCTAATGTGTAAGTATATAGGCTTAGGGCCTGTGCACACAAATGCATGAAAATGCTTGAAAAATGGATATGCATTGTCTTCCAATGGTGTGCATTTTAATGTGCATTGACATGTTTTTGTAAACATTGACCTGCTACATGTTCTTGTAAGGGACAAAATAATAAAAGTTTTTTTTTTTTTCAGTGGTTTTGCATTGATGTGCATTTACATGCATATAAGTGCATTGCATTGCATTGAAATGCATACATGGAGCATTTTAACACACTGCACTGCATATGACACCAGCATCGCAGTGTGAAGAAGACACACAAACAATAGTTTGCTATATTGTCCTTGCGGTGATCTGTATTCTTCCAGTGTGAACAGAAATTTAGTTTGTAAATGGACTGCCTAAAATACTGTATTTAGAGAGTTGTGCATAATGATTTATACTCTGAATAGTCTAAAGTTATTAGTGCTATACTCCAAGGTCCTTACTTTTAACCTATTTACACAGTAAATCATATAGGGTCTGGGATTAAAAGTATAATTTCAGTGTTTGCAGATGACACCAAGCTAGCAGCTAGCAGTGGAATAACATCATTAGATGGTGTCTCCAACTTGCAAGCCAATCTCAATGAACTATTTAATTGAACAACTAAGTGGGAAATGAGGATAAATGTAAAATTATGCACTTGGGGGCTAAGAACATGCATGCATCATACATACTAGGAGGAGAATAGTTGGGGGAGTCAATGGCAGAGAAGGATTCGGGGGTTCTGGTATATCATAGACTTAATAATGGCATGCAATATCAAGCTGCAGTTTCTAAGGCGAGCAAAATCCTCTCTTGTATTAAAAGAGGTATAGACTCAAGAGAGAGAGACATCATGTACAAATCATTAGTAAGACTTCATTTGGAATATGCAGTTCAGTTTTGGGAACCAGTTCACAATAATGATATTGGAGAACTGGAGAACGTGCAGAGAAGGGCAACCAAACTGGTAAGAGGCATGGAGGAGCTCAGCTATGAGGAAAGATTATCTGATCTGTATTTATTCTCTCTAGAGAAGAGGTGATTGAGTGGATACAATCACCATGTGTAAATACATAAGTGGTGCATATAGTGAACTTCGTGTAGAGTCATTCACCTTGGAGTCAATACAAAGGACATTTTTTTGAGTAGCGCACCATAATTTATGTTCAGTGATTTGTATTACAGTAGCAAGAGACAGGGATTATTTTAGTTTGCATTAAAAGCCTTAGGGGCAGTTTAACACTTTTCAAAAAAAGATGTTACAAAGAAATAAAGAGAACAATACATCAATTAAGAAGGAGTTGAATATGAAGAATACTTGCAAAGTCCTTGGTTTTAGCAGAGTCCAATTGTCAAAGCAAAAATGGTGCCGTGGCTCTTTCAAGTCCGGTTAGGTGTTCCTTGCTGGATGTTAAAATGAGAGCTTGACAATAGGTTCTGCCATTCCCCTTTTCTGTGGTATCAAAGGGGTGTTGACCTAGATAATCTGTTCAATCATCCGGTGGGTGCTGGGAGGTCACCACGTTTATGAGCAAGTCCCAAATACAGTTTCTTTCAGGTATTCATATTTCTGAACTCATACTGTTTAGTGTCTGCTACCATGCGGATTATTGTCCAGCATGAAATTAACCTAAAAATGTATACAGATATAGCAGGTCTTGGATATCTATTACGTAAAGGATGGGTGTGGGGGCCTGATCCACTCCCATACCTCTCAGCATACGGATGTCTGAGTTCAAAATGCTACCTAATAACTGAGGGAGGTATATATGTCTATATTCTGGTTTTGCTGTAATGATTTCAGGAGTTGTGAAATATGCTGAAGTTTTAGAATCTTGGCTGATAAGCCGTCTATCAGAAATGTGTATTTCAGTAAGGTATTTATGACCCAAGGTCTGTTTGATTTCCAGATTGCTCAAGCTTGCTAGGGTGACAGTTTTATTTGGGTTTTCAGACTGGAATGGGGGATTGGGTTAATGGAGAGCTCTGTGTGTCTAATTAGTGGATTAATGGATTGAAAACAAGGTCCTGGCATCAGTTAACAGTTTGTATATTGTATAAACTGAAGGACAGGGATGGGGGGGGGGTCACTGGACTATGCCTTCTTATGACAAGATGGCATAGGACACTTGTGACATGACAAAATGGCTGCTACACGCACAGCCATTACAGTGGCTAAACTCTACATTTGGACAAAGCAGCAATCTTGCCTATGGCCTCACTCAAACTGGAAGATTAGTTGCCTTCAGTCTTTGTGCGACCAAAACGTCTGGCACTGGACATAAATAGTCTGTTTCCAGGGCAGATCAAGAGCCCTATATGCATTTAACCACTGATATGAGTGGTTACATGTGAAAGGAGGCATCACTGCCCATTGATTTGTACAGGGAATAAATCTGGCCACTCTTCTGCTGGCTGCAGCTGTTCACACACAATATGTGCAAGGGGCTAGTTTCCGCTTGTTTGAATGAGGCCTAATAGTCACACACACATGTTCAACATACAAATAGAACCTCTATGTGACTACACCTTCTCCTTGGTATTCCAGGGAGGAGATGCATACATTCTGCTTTGCTGATTACACGTTATTGATGTTTGCATCATTCATGGAGCATCGGTGAAGGTGGAAGAGCTTATAAAGACAGGACATGGCAGCCAAAGACCCCATGTTCACATGGCTGTAGTCAGCCACAGCTGAAGCACTGGGTGAGGGAGTTCAACACCCAGAAGGACCAGCTGTAGTGGCCCAGACCAGGGGCGGACTGACAACTCATGGGGACCCCGGGCAACAGGGGATCTTGGGGCCCCTGTGTCCTTGCCCAAACTCAAAAAAGCCGATGAAAAAGGTACTAGGGGCATCTCATGGGGCCCCCTGCTGACCCCGGGCCCTCGGGCAGTGCCAAAGTTTCCAAATGGTCAGTCCGCCCCTGGCCCAGACTCTATAACAGTTGTCTGTAGAATGCAAATGGCCTTTTGCTAGGTTAAGTATTCTCTATCGCAAGTACTAGTACATATGGGAGCAAGAGAGTAACATCTGGGAGCATACCAAGCTGGGTGGGGCTATGGAGTGGGACATAGAGAGAGTCTGGTATACTACAGAAAAGACAGAAGCATAATGCTGTGGTTCTAGAATACAGTACATTTGGTCCCAACCCCGTGGGGCTCCCATGAGAGGAGAAAGGGGAAGATAGCTTAATAATTGGGCAGCACAGTGGCTTAATGGTTAGCACTTACGCCTGGCAGTACTAGGGGGAGTTTGCATGTACTCTCTGTGCTTGCGTGGGTTTCCTCTGGGTACTCTGCTTTCCTCCCACACTCCAGGCCTATAGCCAGGAGTTGGGCACAAAATGGCTTCTATCTACCAGCAGTGGGTATCTGTCCTATCCAAGAAGAAGCAGGATGAGGGCTCTAGCAAGTTGGTGCCAACAAAGAGCCAATCATGCTCCCATACAATTATAAATTACAGATACAAACAGAGCATATTGTACTCCCATGTGTATGGGATCAAAAGTCGGATCAAAATTGAATTACAACAGTGTGGACCTAATTAAATGGGAAAGTTTTTCTACTTTGAGAGTACTAAAAACTTTCAGTTCAGCATCAGAAAGAATTTCCTACCTAATATACAAGCCACTATGTCCCAGGAATCCATCATTTTAAATTTTCACGGGAACTCTGTGTAATTAGGTCATCACATAACTCTTCAGAGAATGAAAAACTCCAGGCCATGGTGACTGTGTATTGCAAACATAGTTCCCATAGCTGGCATGAAACAACGATCTGCAAAATACTGTGGTCCTAGCCAGACATTTTGAGACAATAAAGAAAGCAAACTTTAAATTACAGAATATGGAAGCTAAGTAGACATGATGATAATAAAGCAGAACAGCCAATACAGGGTCAGATGGTAGGAAAAATAGTATACAGGATGGTATAAAGAATTTGTGAAAATGTGTGATTTTTTAAAAAAATTATTATTATAGCTGAAATCTGGGTTGTAGAAAGAGTAAGTCTACATATTAAAAGGCTTAAATGCACATTTTATCTAGGGGATGATGAATGAATAAGGAGAATATCTTTCCTTATTCCTTGCTACATTAACTGCCTTATTCCTCTGATCCTCCTTGGACGTTTGGTCCTGAATTGTATATATAGACATCAGAGAGCTATGACCGGTGTGGTAGTGCAGAGAAGCGACTTCAGGGGACCAGTCTTATGAAGAGGAGGAAGTCTGCAAGAGAAAGGAGTAAGGTACTGTAAGTATTTCTCCTTATTCCAATGCCCCTATGCTGTAAGGAAAGGTTTAACATAAAAACAAAAGACTATTCCTTCCGTTATTGTTGGTTGGGACAGTTGACAACATAAAAGCCTTTGTAACCATTTTTTTTATTGCAAAGTTTGTTAAAAAGGGTATATAGCAGCGTACAGAGGGTTTATCCAGAATTTTTGTGTTAATATGTGGTCACACCCTTTTAGCACCCATTAGATTTTATGCACGTAAAGGGATCTCAGCACAGGAATATCTTGTTTCTGTTACATTGCAGGTCAGAGGCCAGACCTAAACCTAGTAGCTCTCCCCACTTTGTGTCTGTTTTCCCCACATTGTGTCCACAGTAGCATTTGCGTTGGCAAAGCAGAATAGGACTGGCCAGGAGGGATTACTTTGATGCAGTTGGCCAGCATAAACATGTATTGCAATGTGTGTGAACAAAAAAATCCCTGTTTTTTACTACAGAGTTTGCTAAAAAGTGTATATAGCAGTGTGCAGAGGGTTTATCCAGAATTTCTAGTGTTAACATGTTGTCACACCCCTTTAGCACCTAATAGATATAGCATTTACAAGCTATTGGGATCTGAGCTCAGGTATATCTTGTTTTAGGTGCTCAGCAGGGCCCCATTTTATTACCGAGTGTGAGGTAGTAGAGATACGCTGGACAGGTGATGTGGGCATAGGCTCGTGTCCCTTCAAAATGCAACAAGTTTCAGTGAAGGTGTACATTGATACAAGGACAAGAGAGTTAACTGGAGTGCAGTTTATTGTTCAAGTGTGCATGGTGTACCGTCATCTCTAAAGTTGGGGTTCTGCATTAAGGTTGAGTTATCCCTGAAAGTGACCCCTGCCTTATCTAGTGGTGTTGATGAGCACGACACAGTAAAGATATCCCATGTGTAAGGCAAGTGACCCTGTTCAAGGTACCTAGCATAGCCCAGAAGAACTCACACCGGGGTAGGCCTCCCATGTGGCCTACACTTGGTGCCCAATGGGGAGGGGAACATGGAAGGAGTGTCACCCACCTGCCCTATAAGCGCTTTCCTCCATTGCAGCAGTGGACAGTCCTTTGGCATCCTCACGTCCAATGCAAGGGAGGACTTTTGGTTTTCCAGAGTTCAGGACTTCATGCTGCAGCTGCACTTCTCCATTTCACCTGATGAGTGAGCCTAAAGTACTGATAGGGAGGGGGGTCTCTGTACCAGTGGAAAGCTGAGCGGTCTGAACTGCTGTGGAGGGGGAAGGTGTGTACTGAAGGAGGAGGTCTGTACTGTAATGGTCGTGCATACTGGGCACACCAATAGCTGTGTGTGTAGCAGTCACTTTGTCACTAGTGCCCCATGCCATTTATGTCATAAGAAGCAATAGCCACAGTGACCCCCCCCCCCCCCCTTCCTTCAGTTTATACAATACACCTGCACACCAGGACCTTATCATCAGTCCATTGATCAGACACACAGCCCTTTCCATGAACTAATCCACATTCCCTTCTGGGAACCCTAATGTGTGCACCGCCCTACCCGTGCCGCCATTGGCATCTACAGCTGTCGATCACCGGGTCTAGTCAGAGATTCCCCGTCGGCACCATTTTAGGAACACTGACAGGGAAGAGGTCTGTATGTAAACAATACAGATCTCTCCCCTGTCAGCACCAGCACGCTGCTTTGTATTGCTCAGCAGAGCAATACACAGCAGCATGCTTACATAGTACATCACACACAGCACACAAAGTAAAACAGCACACAGTTAACCCTTTGATCGCCCCAGATGTTAACCCCTTCCTGCCCAGTGTCATTAGTACAGTGTGAATGCTTTTTATTAGCACTGATCACTGGGGATGTCAGTGGCAGTTAGCCAGTTTCCCTCCAGTGTCAGAATGCCCAACGTAGTCCCGCTATAAGTTGCTGATTGCTGCCATTATAGTATACAAAAAAATTCCAGTATGTATACCGCCATTTGTAGATGTTATAACTTTCATGTAAACTAATTAATTGACACATATTGGGAGGTTTTTTTTTAGCAAAGGTGTGTAGTAGAATACATTTTGGCCTAAATTTATGACGAACTTTGATTTTTTTAAATTTTTTTATTGGGTATGTTTTATTTCAAAATTGTCAGTCTTTTTTTGTTTATAGAAATATATTTATATTAAATTATAAAAATAAAAAAAACACAGAGGCAATCAAATACCACTGAAATAAGGCTCCATTTGTGGGGAAAAAAAGAACATAAGGTTAATTTGGGCGCAGCATTCCATGACAGCGCAATTGTCAGGTAAAGTAACACAGAGCCATATCGCAAAAAAATGGCCTGGTCAGGAAGAGGGGTAAATCCTCTGGAGGGTAAGTGGTTATACTAGGTCAGTGTAGCTAGCTAAACAAATAAATAATACCTTTTGTTAATGAACAATACCTTCTTGGATGTATTTTTATCCTTAGTATAATAAATATTCCATCATCAGGTTGGATTCTTATCAAAGCTGTTGCAGGAACAGTATATCTTTAAACCACATACATATGACAACGCCAACTTTTGCTGATCACACCCACTTTTCATCATGGCGCACCACATGTAGCACATTCTGCCACTTTAAAAGGGTCCCTCTTTGTCAAGTTCAAAAGTTGAGAGTTATGCAGTGCTGGTATTTTCCAGAAGTAATCTAATTCAAAAGGCACACTTTTCAGGGTGCAGTTTAGGCATAATTAATATTTCTAGATGTGTCCAACAACATGGGAAATCTTCACTTTAACTCTGGTTGACTTTAAGTGTACGTGTCTTCATAAAATGTACTGTTGTGCATACTAAAAAGGATACTAAAAAGGGCTGCAAATGATTATTTTGACTACAAAATATGTAGCATCACATCCATTTTTTATGCTATTTTTATATGTAGTAAAGCATGACATATACTTTTTCACAATGATAGCATCAGTGATACAGAGAACCAGATTATTAAATGTGAAGACAAGGTTGATGTAGAAGGGTAATTTAAAGACTAGACAGACCAGTAACATAACAAGCAATTGACCTTTTGGAATGTGGTAGAACATTGAGGTTTCTGAGAAAAAAAAAAAATAGATAAACATATTTAAAGACAAAAGATTAGGGATGCACCGATATATCGGCGGCAGAAATGTATCATCTGTAAAGTGTTATAGGCATTTTGTTGATAGGAAAACAGATGCCGATAATGACTGCCAAAAACACGCGATTTTACCCGTGATTTTACCGCATTTAGGGTGCATTTGTCAGGTTATGTGTCTCAAAAAAATGCATAAAAAATGCAACGTGCATGCGTTTTTTATGCTTTTTTTTTGCTTGACTAATGCATTTTTGGCCTGGTTCACACCAATGAAGTTTGCGTTTTGTCCACTTTTTTTTTATGCAGTTTGCGTTTTTTTTTGAATGCTTTTTTTTGCCAACTTGTTGCTGGGCAGAATAAAAATGCAAAACACATCAGAAACGCAACACATGTGCATTTTTGCTTCATTTTTGCTGGGTTTTCTATGCATTTCAGGCCTGGTTCACACTAATGCAGTTTGTGTTTTGTCAGTTTTGCAGTGCTTTTTGCAGTGCATTTGTGTTTTTGCACGTACATTTTTGAAGAATTTTTTTATGCGATTTGCATGTTTAGAATTTTTTTTGTTCAACTTGTTGCTGGGCAGATTAAAAACACATCAAAAACGCACACGTGCACATGTTTTCAATGCATTTCAGGCCTGGTTCAGAGCAATGCAGTTTGCATTTTG